CAATGAGACAGCCTGTCAAGTCTCCCTTCCCAGACCATTCTGTTGTCTGAGTATTGACTACTGACAGGCAATCTAAGGGATTGGGGTGCAGGGGGAGGTGTTCCAGTGAACCTCCAGCCACGTGCACAAGTCTTTAACCCACTTCTTCCCAGTGTCATCGTTGGGGGTGGGAAGGAGGCTGGGCACCTTCTTTCTCCTCTAGGTCCACTTCTACTCAGAAGGGCCCCTGGGCCTGTTTTGTCCCAATGCCTGCTCCTGGCTCCCTGTTGGAGACATCCTAAAGATGGTGAGGGGGCTGGGGGCTCAGCTACAGGGACCCACAGTTATCTGAAGCAGCTTTCTTGTGAAGCTCCAGAAAACGGGCACACATGTGAGGACTGACGAGACTGCAGGCTAAGATGTGCCAAGCAGGCGTCTGTGTGGTCGGCCCAGGGCCAAAACCCAGCCTGGCCCAGGTCACTGAACCCCAGCCACCAGGGAGATAGCTGCTGTCATCATCGCGTTTACACGTGGGGAAACTGAGTCACGGAAAGGGCAAGTGACTTGCTCATCACCTACAGCTGGTAAGTGGTGAGACAGGACGTGACAACCTGGGCTCTGGGAGCACTGAATCAGGGGAAGCCACTGGGCCCGAGTCCAAGGCAGAGTCGCTTCCAGCATCCTCCTTGGAGAGGCCCTGCTCCACTACCAGGAGGGGGGAGACCCTGCCTCAGAGAACAAGGCGGCAGCACTTGTGCCCACTGCCTTCCCTGCTACCATCAGGGTGGGGGGCAGGCGGGGCGGGGGCCCGGTAACCCAATCCTAGGCTCGAAGAGTCTGAGATCCCTAAGCATTTTGCATGTAAAGACACTGCAAGGCTCAGGCGCATGAAAATGGGAAAGGAGAAAAGTGAATCCTGAACCCAAATGTACTGTCTGAAATAGGAAAGTGAGAAGCGAAGATGAGCTACACTGAGTCCACGCTCCCCTGCGGTCCTGGACCAGAGGCAGCTGAGCTGGTGCCCATTGCTCACCAGCCTGGTCTCACTGTGACCGCTCCCCTCTGGC